AAATGTATTTTATAATAATAATTTTGTAAAGAATGTATGATTAAAAAAGAAAGAAAAGTTTTGAATTTACGTGTGATATTATTTTATTGGAGATCGTATGGTTAAAAAGAAGAAAGGGAAAAAACGCATTTTAAAATTAATTAATGGAGCCTAAATAGGGGGGCCTAAATTAATTACGCAATAGTCAATAGATAATATCGAATATCGAGGCTCTATTTGATGGTCAATATTTGTCAAAGATAAAGTTTTGAATAGTGAATTTTTTGAGAATACGTAGTTAAAAAGTAAGAAATATTTTATTATATAAATACATGATTGAAAATAAATATATGAAAAAAAAAAGATTTTTGATAATGATCGTCAAAAGGCTGAATTTTCTCCAAAAGTATTTTCACAACAAAAAAATGTCAAAAATAATTGGTTGAAAATAAATAAATACTTCTCTGACTCATTTATTTACTTGTGCCCTGGCGGTGGAAAATACTATTATGACAATGACAAACTGACTGTCACCATGTGGCAGACCCTTATGAATTGGATTAAGCCCTCTGTACAAGGGCTCTACACCCTCTCACGTGAGGTGGATCCTACCTTAATAAGAAAGCGAAAAAAAAAAAATTATCCAACCCCTTATGTGTGAGTTGTCGGTAGGTGTCATGTGAACCTCCACATGTACTTGAAGCATGATTCTATTTTTGGGAGGGATTAAAAACATGAATAAACTATTTATACAAAAAGAATTTGACAAAAANTGAATAAAGCTATTTGTACAAAAAGAATTTGACAAAAATGTTGACAAACACTCACATGATTGCCGGCCCCACATGAATAAAAAATTGAAAATAAAAAGTGGATCCCCCCACATGTGAGGGTTTGTCAACATTTTTGTACAAATTCTTTTGTACAAGTAGCAAGGTTCTAAAAACATATTAAAATTGAAAAATTAATCGTTATTGTTGACTTTTATTAAACGAGTGAGACCTAATAACAACTATATTTTCAATTTTAGTTAAATTAAAATCCCTTCCAAACAAGCTATGAATTTCATGCACCATAGAATTCCAGATTATTATGGTATTTAGAATTCGTTTGATCCCCATTATTTTTAAAATATATATTTCTTTTTTTTAATCACATATTTTTCAATAAAATAATATTACGCACAAACTAATTTTTTTTTTAAATTTTTAAACATACATTCTTCGTCAATCTACTATTTCAAAATGAATTGTTAGAATAAAAATGGGGCTCAAACTGACACTCACTAAAATCGGACTGAATTTCAAGCCACTCGATGTTAAGAGGTTTATATTTGGTGGAAATTAAAATCAAAATTTTAATGTGTTAATTTCACAAATGGTCACTGAAATTACATCAAAATAACAAAATGGTCACTCAAGATATAAAATTGCACTAACGGTCACTCAAGTATCACCCGGTTTCAAGAATGGT